GTTGGTCTTTTTTTTTTTTTTTGACGATGATTTTGATTGGTCTACTGGTTGAAAGTTCAGTGGTAGGACTAGAAAAACACAGCTCATCGTAAAAGATAAGTAGGTGCGTGCAAGTTTTCTACTTTTTTTGGCGTATAAATTATTGGGTATTTCGGCTGTCTTTTTCTTTGTTTAATTTCTTTTCTTTGGATTTTTCTTCTATACCTTTCTGGTTTCTTGTCTGTATATTTCTTTTGTCTTTATGGAGTATTGAACATAGGCTTTCACTCTTCTTTTATGGATATACTTCACTTTATTAGCCTCTGGTGTGATAATAGTAGCTGGCATTTGAATTTATTTTGTTTTTGGAAAACAATATCGACAATATGTTGTGTTTAAAATAATTTCTGAGAAGACTGTTTGGGAGAAACTACCTTTAATTTGTCTCTGTCTGCATAAAGAAGATTGGTCTAATTTTAGTTAGATGGAGTTGGTAAAGGGTACAGGGTTTTGGTTAGATTTCTGTAGGCCAAAGTTTTCTCAAATGGAAAGGCTCAAGTTGAGTTTTATTTTGTGTCTCATACAACTTACACTAGTTGCATGAGACTCTTTTTTGTCTCACAAATTTGTGGACCCCATTTTTATACTTCTGGTCCACAGAAATCTGATTTCACAAAATTGTGAGACAAAAAAGTTGTCTCATACAACTATTAGTGTCAGTTGGACACAAAATAAAATTTTCTAACTGATGTTCTTTTAATCTTCTGAAACGGTAAATACTTCCGCTATAGCACTGGGCCCTAAACTTGCATTCATTTGTCAATGTAAACTAACGTAGAACTTTCCTATTTAAACACTTCAACGTAATTATTTGCACATTAATACACACTTTCAATTGAACGTGCGCCTCAATTGCGTGACATGGATAACTTGTCGCATGCTAAGTCTTTTGTTGTCTAACATGTGTAATTTGTGGGTTCCATTTTTTACAAAGCAATTTACTAAACTTTTATTATTTGGCCTTTATTCTTTCTCTTCCTCTTCACTATATCTCCACTAGGACAGCCTCCAGTTCAGCTCAATACTGGTCCTCCTAGCTCAAGAATGAGACTCAAAATGCCTCGACAAAGTGGTCACAAACTGTAGCCAACTCCCCCAAGTTCAACAGACTCAAATCCAGTTCACACAACACGAATAATTCAATGCCAACTAATCACCAGTTTGCAGATACAGAACTTGACAAAAATGACATAATTGTAGCTGCAAATTTTAAGTCTAAGCTAGAAGATTAAACCAGTAGTTAATTTCAATGAAATTAGCAGTAGCAATTAAATTTAAAGAGCAACTCCAAATGCTTTTCAAGCACGACCCCAATCGAATTTCCAATATCCAACAATCTAAGGTTCAATCATCTCACTTCTCAGATTTGACATATACACTTTCAGATTATAGCAGCAATAACACAATTTCAGTCCAAGGAAATAGAAATCACAAGCATATCCTCAATCAACTTTTTTCAACTTAAATCTCTCCTCATTTGCAAATGCACCACGTTTGATTAGTTGTTAGTTTTGGGGAAAAGGTTTCAATTTTAATCTGGGTTTGATTTTGAAGAAAGTGGAGGAAGGGGAAAAGAAGAAGATGAGAAAGGGTGGGGGCAATACAAAAGAATTGGGG